ATCAAGATGCAGACTCCTCCGCCAGCTCTAGTTTTGCGACAGTATGATGCTGCGATTTTATATCCCGGAATGTTTACCATTTCTAATTTGTGATTAGATAACCAGGTTTCTGATATACAAATCACCTGATAACTTGTATCTTGATCTAAGAAAGATGCCAGTATATGCTGTTTATTATATAGGCTCTGGATGTTCTGATATAGTATTTTGTGATGTGTTTTACATTGGTGTTTGCTTCCGAAATGTATTCCCACTCTCGTTCACATTCGCCGGGCCATAGGATTTGTTGTGGGTATTGTCTGCATTGTCTTGTATTTTATGTATTTTCCCATCTATATATAGTTTGTTGTCGCGTATTACAGCATGGTAGCCACTTCTTCGTGCAGTAAACATTTGTTCTCGTAATATTTTTCTATCTCTTTGTGCTGTTTTATTCAAATATTCAGATATTGAAATCCTCGTGCCGTGGCAGTAGTGGCTATTTCTTGTTATATATTTCACCATTTTCTTGCTGATCAATTCCATTATCAGTGGTCTAGTATTATTAAACTGGTTAGTATATTTACCAATCCTCTTTGTATCTTCTATGTATCCCGTTAGGTCAATATTATATAGTTCGTGAAACATTTGAACTAAGCGAAAATGTAGATCATTTTCGGGCTCGTTGTGGTATTCGTCGAAGCCGTAAATTACAATTTTCTTACTAATATCCTGTTCATAATGTACTCCATTTGTCGTGATTCTCATCTCTAATTCCCGTATTTCATTATTTAGTCTTAAGTTTTCTCCCTTTAGAGTTTCTATTTCGGCATTAACTTTTCCTAAATCATTTCTTATTTGGTCATTCTGTTTGTATAGACCATTTGTTTGCTGTTGAATTTCGTCTTTTAATTTTTGAATAGCCTTATTAATTTCTATTTGTATCGTGTTTTGAAGATCCGAAATTATTGACTTATTGTTCTCCTTAAGTCTTGAGATAATTAATTCGCTCAAAGTGTCAAGGGTGAAATCTGTTCTTGTACTCGTTTTCATAGGGTCTGGCGTATCAGTGCAAATTGTATTGCCCAGCATACTGCACTCCTCCGAGTCCAGGGTGTCATTTAAAAGTGTGTTTTTTTTTCCTTATTGTGATATGATTATTATCCTGTCTTATAATTTTGAGCTGCTCGGAGCTATCATGGTCTCCAAGGCGAATTGGCGTAGAGTCAGAGCGTGCCTCCTTTGGTGATTTGCATATGCATGCTTGACATTTCCAAGATTTTTTATGAGCTTGTGTCATTGTATTTAAATATCGTTGTATGGACACATTCGCGCACTCTAAATCATACATGTCTTTACAAAATGCACAAGATAGGTATTGTCTTACTGCAATTTCTTTGCAGCAGCCAGCACATACCTTCGCCATCCCGTAGTTTTTGTTTAGAAATAGATCGCAATAAAAGATAATAAGAAAAGTAAGAAACTTTGAATGCTTCTGTTTTAGTATTTTAACTATTGCACAATAGATGGCGTTACGTGTACGTGATGAGTTTAAAATAGGTTTATACTAGATATCGCAGCTACTCCACGCTAGATGGCGTTACGTATAATATGAGTGTCGGACGGCCAGTTAGTTCAAGGTACAAAGTCCAGTTTTGTTTTTAGACGACGGATGCAATTCGTTATGTGAGTTTAAAAACAATGCACAGGTAAGATATATATTTCACTTATTTATTAGGATATTGTTCTCTCACGGATTTTACATAGGTTTTTATATCGTTCTGTTTATTGTATTATAGTTTTTAAATATAAAACACTGTTTGTTATTTCACCTCAAAATTTCACATTTATTCTTTAAATTTTATTATCACAAACACTTTCACACAATATTTGTCACTACTTATTCACTTTTATCAAACGAAACATACAGACTATTGCTGTTTGCTATTTATTAAATTAGATAAAATACAGTTGATGCCGACATGTACAGCGCCCTCTCAGTAGCAGGTGTCCGTTTGTATCAAAGTAAACAAACTTAAGGCCATACGAGAAGTACAGTTCGCTAAAATAGTAGCAATTCTTTAGTTAGTCACTCGTTGCAAAATGAATGTGAACGAGGCGTGACTATAACATAATTCTACTTTTGTTAACCAATATAACATAATAAAGTTGAATTTACAATTCAAATGAAGATGTGTCGTCATAAATGTAAAGGTTGACAGTGACCGCTTAAAGACGACGGTAACACATTAAACTCCCACATTTATACTATTGTAAATAAAGTGACTAACAGGCTCAGAATCCACAACCTAGAATTAAATATCGACAAAACTAAATTAATGCAATTCCACCCTCACCAAAGGAGCAACCTTAATATTAATTTTTCATTTGACGACATAGCTGTAGATTGCGTAGGCACGTACAAACTCCTTGGCCTAGAAATTGATACTCATGTCGATTGATTGGAAGGTGCATACTCAAACAATATGCTCCAAATTGGCTAGCTTCACTTATGCCCTAGAACTAAAAAAGACCACCGACCTTAAAACAGCTCTAAGTGCATACTACGCGTATGCTGACGCGTGGCTCCGATATGGAGTGGTATTGTGGGGCAACAGTACGGGCGTAGGTGATGTTTTTATATATCAAAAGAAATGCATAAGAATTGTGGCCAACCTTAAGCAGACAGAAAGCTGTAAACCAAATTTCTTGAAATTGAATATACTTACCCTGTCATCGATTTACATACTAGAAACTAACAAATTCCTAACAAAAAAAAAACAGACACCTTTTTCCAAACGAACAACAACCAACAAACCTACGACCTAGACAAAGAATACCAATTCCACCTTCAAAATAAAAAATGCATAGTTCAGGCCCCTATGCCATGTGCATAAAAATATATAATAACATTCCCAAACGCATTAAAAATACCTCATTTTTAACAACAATAATTCTTTTAATAAAAAACTTACACAATATTTGGTCCAAAAATGCTTTTACACGTTGCAAGAGTTCTTCGAGAGCAAAGACAAGATGTTATAAATAACAAATTATATCAATATATACGTGATTTAAAAAAAAATATTACCAATGAATAGCACGTTCACTCCGTGGCCCGTTCCCTGTTGACACGAGCGCATGCACCGCGCTCAACTCCCCGCTGGCGCCACCACCGCTGGATACTGACTCCCGCGTTGTCCTCATTTCCACCGCAGCCGAGTCCCGTTCTGCCGCCTCGAGGGAAGTTGCGACCTTCACCGCCTGTGCATAGGTCACATCGTCGCTCTCCGCGAACAGCCGCTGACGAATAATATCACTCCTAATTCCACATACGAATTGGTAAAACGGGCTCAGCGCGAGCCAGCCAGCAGCGTGCGGGCGGTGGAGCGGACACAGCACGAGCCAGCCACCAGTTTGCGGTTGGCGGAGCAAGCTTCGTTCGGAATAACAGGCTTAGCTCGAGACCAACATTCGGGCAACAGCGTTATTCCTATTGTGGAGCATGTGGAGCACAGAACCATAATTATGCAACCTATCGCTATAGGTACTCCGTGTGCAGCAAGTGCCAGCGCACGGGGCATTTACGCCGGGTGTGCCCAGATTGGGGAGAGGCGGAGAGAAGTGGCCTACACTTCGGACAGGCGCAACTAGAGGGCGAGATGGAGGTGGACGGACATAACTATGACATGGAGCAAGAGTTAAACCATTTGTGTTTGAACGACTTTAAGCCAGTAAGTGTTTCCGTGTATATAGACAATAAACTTATTTCTATGGAGGTCGATACAGGTACGGCTATTTCGTGTATAAGTAAAAAAACGTATAACGAATATTTTAGTTATTATGCTATAGAACCGGGACAATACTGTTTTGAAATTCTATGATGGGAGTAAAATTAGGCCACTCGGGATTATCAAGCCTACTGTGCGGTATGGCAATAGAACGAAAGTTCTAGAACTCTTCGTGATTGATTGTGGAACGACTTCCTTATTAGGGAGACAATGGTTGACGGAATTAAAAATAGATGTACCGCAGTTTAGTTGTAACTTTGTATCTTATAGTGGAAGTAACGAACATGTAAACAAGAAATTGGAAAATTTACTTAACAGGTTTAAGGAGCTGTTCAGCGGCGGTCTGGGTCGGTACACTGGGGGGAAGGCAACGCTGACGGTGCGCGAGGGGGCGACGCCGGTGTACCACCGCGCGCGGCCGCTGCCGTACGCGCTACGAGAGCGCGTCGACAACGAGCTCGACGCCATGCTGCGCGCGGGGGTCATCGAGCCGGTGGTGGACCACTCAGATTGGGCCTCGCCACTGGTACCCATTCCTAAGCCTGATGGCACTCTTAGATTGTGTGCGGACTACAAATCTACATTGAACCCCGCTTTACTGATCGATCGTTATCCCTTACCGAAAATTGAAGATGTGCTAGTAAATTTAAACGGCAATCAATATTTTAGCAAAATCGACTTATCCCAGGCGTACAACCAAGTAGAACTCGATGAGTCCAAAAGGTACACCGTAATAAATACTCACCGAGGCCTGTTTAGGTATAACAGACTAGTTTATGGTTTGGCTTCGAGTGTAGGTATTTTCCAACGAATAATGACTGAATTATTGAAGGGTATTCCAAATGTGCAAGTATTTTTAGATGATGTGATAATAGGTGGTAAATCGGAAAATGAGCATATTCACGCTCTAGAGATGGTTTTACGGCGTTTATTAGGCCATGGGTTAAAATTAAAGAAGAGTAAATGCGTGTTCCTTACTAAAGAAGTTACGTATTTAGGGTATGTAGTCTCTCAAGACGGTATCAGGGCCGATAAGTCAAAGGTAAAAGCAGTGTTAAAAATGCCTACTCCGCAAAGTGTAACCGAATTACGTTCTTTCCTGGGTATGGTCAATTTCTTTGCTAAATTTATTAGGAATATTAGTTCTATTTTGTCACCGTTGTATAACTTGTTACGCAAGAATGTAGAATGGAAATGGGACGGGAAGTGTGAACGTTCATTCCAAAAAGTGAAACAATTGCTAATGAGCGCGGAAGTATTATGCCATTACGATCCAAACCGACCACTGGTGTTGACTTGTGACGCGAGCGCGCGGGGAGTGGGCGCGGTACTATCGCAACGGGGCGAGGGCGCAGACGGGCGCGAGCGGGCCGTCGCGTACGCCTCGAGAACCCTCAGCGATGCCGAAACAAATTACTCACAAATTCATCGAGAAGCGTTAGCTATCATTTTTGGTATAAAGAAATTCCACCAATATTTATACGGCCGTCGGTTTTTGTTACGTACAGATCATAAACCTCTGGTTTCTATATTTGGACAAGATAAAAGTATTCCTCAAATGACGGCTAGTAGGATGCAGCGCTGGGCTGTTATTTTATCCGCTTATAATTACGAAATAGAATACGTAAAAACTACAGATAATTGTGCGGATGGCTTGTCGCGTTTGCCGGAGGTAGGGCAAACGGAGGAGGCTTCTATACCGGAACAGACGTACCTACATTTTGTCCAAGACGCCTTGATGTTAGATTACAATGTTGTAAAACAATGTACGGCTAAAGATGTCCTGCTCAGTAGGGTTAGGTCATATGTAAGAGACGGTTGGCCAGAGGAGTGCGATATAGATAATTTAAGGCCTTATTTCAATAGGAAACGAGAGCTGTACGAAGAGCTCGGCTGTGTAATGTGGGGCCACAGAGTGGTAATACCGGAGAGTTGTAGGGATAGGGTTTTAGAAATAATTCACGAACCCCATATGGGAATTGTGAAATCTAAGGCTTTGGCACGCAGTTACGTGTGGTGGCCTGGGGTAGATGAGGCCGTGGAGGCGGCGTGCCGCGCGTGCACGGTGTGCGCGGCGCACGCGGACCAGCCGCCGCGCCACGCCCCGTGCGTCTGGCCCTGGCCCTCACGCCCATGGTGTAGGTTGCATTTGGATTACCTCGGTCCCATTAACGGAACAATGTATCTGGTAGTGCTGGACGCGATGTCGAAATGGATTGAGGTCTTTTTGGTGCCGAGCACTTCCGCTAGCTTTACGATAAAAATACTTTCAGAGCTGTGGAGTAAATACGGGTTGCCTAAACAGTTAGTAACAGATAATGGCCCACCTTTCACAAGTAAGGAATTTAAGGAGCACGTGAGTCATAATTTTATTGAGCACATTTTCACCGCGCCGTACCACCCCGCATCCAACGGGGCCTGTGAAAATGCAGTTAAAACGGTTAAAAGAGTTGTAAAAAAAAGCGATATCAGAAAGAAAATCAGTATCAGAATCCTTAAATACCTACTTAATGTATTACCGTAACACGGAGCATTCGTCGACAGGGGAAACTCCCGCCATGCTGTTAATGAACCGTAGGTTGCGCACTCGCCTGGACGCTTTAAAGTCAGACAGAGGAGCCAAGGCTCTGGCTGCACAGAAGAAACAAACAGAGGCGGGCGGGGTGCAGAGGAGCGTGGATGAAGGAGACCAGGTCTGGTATAGGCAGTACTTACAGGGGGAAAAGTGGGTTGCAGGTACGGTTTCAAAGCAGCTAGGTAGAACAAATTATAAAATCATAGATAAGGAAGGTAAGGAAGTCCATAGACATATCGATCAGTTAAAGCGGAGGACAGATAGATTGAGTTCGCTCGTAGTACCCAACAACCCGGTTGATACGCCCACAACCAGTGAACCAGTGGCGGGGGCTGAAAGGTCGTGTGAGCGTTTAAAGCGTCGCATGGCCGAAGCAGGGGAAGAACAGGAAACGTGGCATGATGCTAATCTAGAGGATTCGCGACCGTGCAGCCCCGTCGGTCACGCACAGTTGCCCATCATACTGTCACCGCCCCAGACTCGCCCTAACCGCCATGTACGACAATGTCGTATAGACAATCCCCCTAAATATAAGTATTAGTTTAAAATTTTGAAAGTTTCGGAGTAATTAGTATAAGTTGTTACGGTTATAAGTACAGGGGGTTGCTTTTGTAATTAAGTGTGGAGGGATGTAGTGTAGGTAGATGAGAATCTTTTAACAAATGTTTGGTGGAGGGTAGGTTACGTCATTCCGGAATAAACGTAAATCTGTGAAGCGGTGTTTCTTTGTGCTCCTCTGAATATTTAATATCCCACGGGTTTGGTCAGGATATAACACCTTGGTCAAGATACCCACCTTGCCATTATTCGAAAAATCGTGCCCGCCATCTTGCGTTTACAAATAAGTGCTATGTTCGTAATGAGCATCCCCAAATACCTCAAAAACGATACCCATATTGCATTTTTTTGAAAAGTCGTGTTCGCCATCTTGGATTTATTATTAAGTTCTATATTCGTAATGGGCACCCACAAATACCTCTAAAACGATACCCAACTTGCCATTATTCGAAAAATTATGCACGCCATTTTGTATTCACAAATAAGTGCCATATTCGTAATGAGCATCCTCAAATACCTCGGAAAGGATACCCATATTGAATTTTTTGAAAAATCGTATCTGTCATCTTGGACTTACAAACAAGTGCTAAATTCGTAATGAGCACCCCCAAAGGCCTCGAAAACGTTAATCATATTGCATTTTTTTTTAAATCGTGTTCGCGATCTTGGATTTACAAATAAGTGCTATATTCGTAATGGCACCCCCCAATACCTCGAAAACGATACCCATATTGCATTTTTTAGAAAAATCGTGTCTGCCATGGTGGATTTACAAACAATTGCTTTATTCGTAATGAGCACACCCAAATGCCTCGAAAACGATACCCATATTACATTTTTTTGAAAAATCGTGTCCGCAATCTTGGATTCACTAATAAGTGCTATATTCGTCATAAGCATCACCAAATACCTCAAAAACTATACCCGTATTGGATTTTTTTGAAAAGTCGTGTTCGCCATCTTGGATTTACTAATAAGTTCTATATTCGTAATGGGCACCCACAAATACATCCAAAACGATACCCAACTTGCTATTATTCGAAAAATCGTGCCCGCCATCTTGAGTTTACAAATAAGTGCTATATTCGTAATGAGCATCCCCAGATACCTCAAAAACGATACCCATATTGAATTTTTTTGAAATGTCGTGAACGTCATCTTGGATAACTAACTAACTAACTAACTAACTAATAAGTGATATATTCGTAATAAACACTCATAAATACATCGAAAACGATACTGCAACAGCCATACCCGGGGTCTATTTAAAAATAAATAATAGATCCGGTGCTGGTTACGTACGTGCTTAAAATTATATAATAACTAATATTTGGCCGTTATTAAAATATACGTGATCGTCTAGTTGTGATGAATTAAGATTGGACCCTCTGCGTTGTGTAATTTTATTATTATTATTTTTTATACCGTAAGTAAACGAGTTTTAAAACACGTCGCAAAATTATTCAAGCACACAAGACAGTAAATAGCTGCTATAAGGTAAATAGACCTTAATAGCAAAAATAAAGGAAATCGTTGCCGTTTAAACCGTTCATGTCAATTAATATGCAAGTACAAAATGTCACAAAATTTGTAACTAATTCATGCAGAAAATAAACAATTAAAGAGCACATAATACCCTATCAGAGGCATATCTAGAAGGCTAACTATATATATATAGTTGTGAGTTATAATAAAATATTAATTAAATTTGTATATATGTAAATACAATATAAATAAAATATGACCAGTTACTCCAGTGGTTCTCGGCAATCCATTGAACAGCAGATGACCTATATAACGAGAGAAACCCGACTTCAAAGAGACCTTTAGGGTAAGACTTTTAAGTCTAGATGGGGCACCTATCTGATAAACGATACCTGGCCTCCCAGCACCCTTATAGCCAGTCCTGTATGAGGTTCGTTAGAAGGTCAACCTGAGACCCCGATCCTCACACCCAACAAAGCCTTCAGACAGCTAATCGACCTTATATAATGCCTAAGTCTCGTTTACACCCCTACGCGCTCCATACAAACATTCATTCACGTTCTATAAATAAAATAAACATGCAAGTTACGCTTCCTAAGTTACGCTTTGCATTTACGCGCTGCTATTTAACTACGCTTCCCTACTTCGAAAGCAGCCGCGGATGTTTGTGTCAAGAACTAGAGGGTGATGATGAGTTGTGCAAGGTAGTCTGAATACCATTTAAGTGCGTCTAACAGTTACCATTCTGTGATCCCCTTACATAGGTTACAGCTCTGACCAGACTTCACACAAGACGCAGAGGGTCAGGGGTTGTCTATAGCCGAGGCGACGTACCTCAGAGACCACTGATTAAAGTTATAAACACCCAAATGGCTCAGGCCTTGTTTGTGTACCTAGTGCATGTGAAGGATCCTAGTTAGGAGCGGACGACGTGCGCAACCTAAGTCGGGCCCTAGTACGTGATGTAATGCTGTCCAGTTTGTCCAGGAGCTAGTCTCAGCCAGAAAACCTTCCCGCGGTGTGTTATCTAGTGAATGTGTAAAAGTTTAGAGTGAAAATGTGGTGTGTACCTAGTGCATGTAGTGGAATCGAACTTCTGAGATCATTCGGCTTGAGAGCCGTTTACCCAGGCCGACCCCACGTGTGCTGTTGTGTGGTGTAGAGTAATTGTGTGTGTATGTGTGTGCGCGTGTAGAGCGCAAGTAGGACCTACTAATATCTCTTGGTTGACACAAACGAGAGTCACAAAAGCGACTTGTGACACAGTGCTTGCAGTGAAACATTAGGCAGAGCGGAGGAGATTTAATTATGAGATGGAACCACTCTTCCTCTTATCATTGAAAACACAGTGACACACTACTTTATAAAGCATTTAAAAGCAGGCAGATAGAGAAAATATACATCAGATTATCACTAACTCTCAGTTCATTCGCACTGTAACTAATCAATGCAGCTTCGCACCATGAACAACTCTTTCGATAATGTTCTAAAATTACGAATAGATAAACAACATTTAAATCATGAACACCGTCGGAATTGTACAATTAAGAAATTAAGAACGACTTAGCCGCGCCCAAATAAAGAATGTGATGATAAAATAAGACAAAGTCAGCACTCCGCCCCTCGCCCCTAGGAATGGAATACCCTAGACATAGTTAGTTGAGCAAATATACATACATAACAATACATATAAATATGGAATTGGTATAAAATATATTTAGGATAATAATTCCTACAGTCTTGTTAGCCTCATAACCGTCAATTCCTATCTCAGTATGTAATTTAAACTTAGCTGCCGGTTTCGTCATCGTCGCGTCCCGCGTGCTAGCCAGCTCCCGCGTTCTCCGCCTGATGTGCAGTCTCCGCGCCCGCGACAAACGTTGCGAAATAGGAGGAAACCCAACTGTCACATTGCGTTATAAACAGGATCCAACTAACTACTTAAATTCGCGCGCGACACGATAAGGAGCCTATCTTCGATCGTCCCCGAGCCGTTGGCCTGACTCCGCGTCCCGAAAAGCTAGGTACCCAACTGACGTCTCCCTGATCCAAGGTTTTCGCCCCGGCTTCCGATTTCCCTCTCCATTAACTTCACCATCCCCGTTTTCGTGCATACGGTTCCTAACTTAACCAATAACCGAAAATCTCTTTGTTCTAAAGGGTGTGGCTACATTAGAGTCCTATTTGTTAAACTTTCTTTAACACCCACCGTTTTGTCAATGCGCACATCTTGCTTATTGGCATCTGGCGTTTATTGTTCTTACCGGCTCTCGTTACATTTCTTATACAGTACCCTTACTCATAAAGCAATAAATAGTATTCCCTGTCATTTAATTTTATGCCGAGAAATTGTGCAACAAAAGCCCTTTCCAAAATTATGCTCTTTGTTTATGAAATGACCATTTCCGTAACCTTTGTCAATTTCGTGAGGGCGAAACAACTACCAAAAAAAAAAACTCAATTCTTTGAACCCGTCTAGAATTACTTTATGGTGCACATGTGCATTCGCCGTAGAATGCTTGGCAATAATCGTAGTTTCTTTACTACTACCCAATTTCTTCTGACGCAAGCCAGTAATGATTGCTAAATACGTCATATAATACATAACAATAGTTATACTGTTAAGGAGTCCTACAGACGACGGTTACAATACCCACTTTGACATTATTCGAAAAATCGTGCCCGCCATCTTGCATTTACAAATAAGTGCAATATTCG